CTGCCCCGCATGCCCTGCCCTCCGCGGCTGCCCGGAGCCCGTCCCTGCCCCGCATGCCCTGCCCTCCGCGGCTGCCCGGAGCCCGTCCCTGCCCCGCATGCCCTGCCCTCCGCGGCTGCCCGTCTCTGCTCCGGGCGCTCTTTCCGCCTCCCAGCTCTCACAGCTCCTGAGCCGCAAAGCCCAGAAAAATGACCCGAAGGTGAGGAGGGCAGGGTGACCTCCAACGTGTGAGTATAAAAACGTAAAGCTGAAGACTGGCGTCAGCCTCCATCGCGCTACTGCTTTTGCAGTGAGTTTTTTTTTTGTTGTTGTTGTTTTTCGCTTCTCAGATACAGACGAATGCTCCATATGTTGAATACGGAAACAGATACAATGCAGAACATTTCTGTCTCTCTGAATACATTTAAGGACAGATACACGTGTCACACGTAGCAGGAACACACGCTGCCAGTAGATTCTTCTGTCATGGATGTTCCCTTCACCGCAGAAATGTTCCTCTAAAATGCAAAGAGCAGAAATGGGTGTTGTTTTCCTCCCATACCCTCTGCAACTTAATAAGTGTCACAGAAACTTGTAAAATTTTCGAAATCTTGCCACAGTGAACACCTGGTGAAAAAAGTTTGATTAACTGAATTCTTTCTTCCCTGAAACAACTTTTGCAGCACAAAAGACTTTAAATTCAAATGTTTCTTTGGTTTATGCTGAAATAAATAAACACAGACATGAAATATAGTGCACTGCAGTGGTATTAGATGTTTTAAGAGCATGATTTTTTGCATACAGTTGGAAACGCATCCTTCTGTACTACTGAGAGAGAAAATAAAAATAAACAAAACCCTCAAATCCCCAAAACACATCACATTTTATGTGGTGTGCTAGTCTACCAGAAAGTTTCAGCTGTCATTCATATGCCTGAGAACCCAGGTTAGATGAGGTAGACACTCACACTTCCCTCTAGTCCTATTTTCTATTATTTCTATGATATAGAAAGACCAATCTGCAGCTAATTTCGCTCCGTGGGTGTTCAATAGTTCAGAAAGCTCTATGAATGAGAATCATATTTCATAGATATTTTCTAGTGCCCACTTTCTGTCACAGAGTTCTTCAATAGTTTAATTACCCATGTTCTTATGTAACTGGAATTTAAAGGAAT